GTAATTGAATACCCTCCTAGAAAAATGTGCAACGGTACGGAATGATCCGATCGCCACATTTTCTTTTACTAACGAACGGTAGCGTCTGTTATCACATTCCAGAATCGAAATATTACCGAAATCAATTGCATGTCCCATTTTTATGACATGCTTTCGTAAGGCTGATTTCGGTGGGTTCTTGAACTGCAGTTAATTCAGTTGTTCATACATTTTGTTTGTTCGTCGAGTTAAGATTTTATTAGAGGTAATCTGGATCATAGCGCAGAGGCATAATTTTGGACCTTTATAGGAAAAATACCGAAAAACTTTTAAACATCAAAGTTTTTAAATTTTAGAAACCCTAAAAACTCGATAAAGAAAGGTCTAAAAGAAAATTCCAAAACTATACCTCTGCGCTATGATCTTGAGTAGTTCTGATAAAATTTTTAAATTGATTGGATGAAATTTAAGGAGGGTCCTAATGTGGTCCAATGAAAAATCGAGTTTTAAGGAAAACTGGTAAACGGCAATAGTTTAAAACTCGACGAACGAAAACGAAAAAGTACTCCATTTAGTTTCCAATCAGTTCTGAAAAATATGAAGTCTTAGTGACTTTTAGTTTTCATTTCACAGTATTGCAACGGAGAGCCCAAAATGAGGGAACGGGTACCCTTAATTACATTTAAGAATTAAACAAACTAAACTATTTATGTGTATCCCCCTATGCTTGTTACAGAACTTTAACGCGAGACAAAGAATAGAACATTAATTAATGGACCAGTAAATGCTGAACGATATCTGAACAAAGCTCTGAAAGGTGGAAATTCCATTATGGAAGACAACCGGATATTTCAACAGGACGCAGAATCTCTCCATAAGGATCATCGCACTCAACAACAGTGTACTCACAATATGGCTGCTGTTGTGCCAAAAGAACGATGGCCTCATTCACTCGATTTGAATCCCTTCGACTATTTCATTTGGAATGATTTGGTGCAGGCGATTAACTGAGATCGCGTGAAGACAAAAGCTACACTAATTACAAACTGAAACTGACTGTGAAAAAAATTGAAAAAGAAAATATTTTAAATTCTGTGGAAAAATTCACCAAAAGCTTGCTCTGGATTAAACAAAACGAAGGAAATTATATTTGTTAAGTAAAACACATTTTTTTTTACAGAATTGAACGGGGAATCTCATACGAAATAGATTAACACAATCGAGCATGACAAACAGAAAAAATCAGAAAATGTTGAAAGGTTGGCGATACTGAGATTTCTTCTGCCCCACTCGACATATAGACTTTATATCTGTAGTAAAGTTTAACAGTTAGTGTACTCGCTTAGTCAGTAGATACTTTATACCATTCCTTTTTACTATTTAATAATAAAAAATAAACTACGACTATTGACAGAGTTTAATATGCTCGGCACGTTGCCTAAGAAGGAGAGTATAACACGAATGATCTAGTAGCGTGCCGGAGTACGAAGCGAAATACTCTGCCAAGACACTTCCCTCTGAATTATCGTTTTTTTGGCTTGATTCGAGCGACAGGTATCAAGAAAATTATATTTATTCTAACTAAAACTATTGAAAAATATAAAATTAATGTTGTACGGATTATTATTGTGTTTTTTGGATATTATAATGGAATACTTTTTTGTATATCAATTATTTTTATATTTTAATATACTTGAATATTTTTAATAAAAGATAATATTAGTAAAACCATTTCACGGGCGTAATAAATTTCGAGAGACTTTTTATAGAACCTTCAAGAATGTGCAAGAGAAAAAACATCATATTTTATCTCGTATGCAAAGAAACGAAACAGTATTGCTCAACTTCAAGCAGAATACAATTGATATTCACCTGTGTGAATTGATCTTAAATGGAGGTCCGAAATGAGCTTGAGATACAAATTATAAGATACAATTACCTTCGATGTTGAATTAATTTTCTACAGTTGTTCGCTCATGCCATACGACCTCACTCATTCATTTTTAATCGAATATTAATAAGAAGTAAATACACTGTATTTAATTATTTTTTTTCAACAAATGTATCGAATTCTCACATTCTTTTCTCGTTTTGATTTACATCTTTTTTTCAATTTTATAGCACAACATTTAATTCTTCTGGAATTCTGAGCTCACCAAATAAAATTTAGAAATATAAAATGGAAGAACGGTACTTTCTGAAATGTTTCTTTCTGGCATTTTTCTAAACTTTCTATTGAATGTTACACTTTGTAGTTTTTCTCGGATTTGAGTTCTTCAAAAAGAAAGAAATTTCTACATAGTTTTTTGTGAATTATCCTGCAGACGACACATAAATTTTCATCTTAATGCCCCATTTCTGATCAAAATGAGGTATCTCCCACCTCTGAATGATGTTTTTAATCAAGGGTTATAAGAGTTTTGCTGGAAGCCCTAAAATATGCATTAGTTACAGCCGCCACCATATCTCGAAATTGAAATTGAAGCTGACACACGTGGTTAAAGGCTAATAGAGCTCGATTTTTGATATTCGGTTTAGATTTGTCATTAAAAAACATGTTTGCTAAAGTTAATGGCATTTTTTCGAATTTTGGAGTTTTGACGCTCACCATTAATTTGAAAAGAAAAATATCAAAAATCCGGCTCTGTTAGCCTCCAGCCACGTGTTTGGCTGGTTTTATTGGTATCTACACCTACTTCTATGGTAGTACAAAGAGGAGTGCGGGTGGTTGGGTGATAGGCGGTTGAGAGTGATTAACCTAACAATATTTAGATCTTCCCCGTTAGTCTTTCGAGAGCAGAAGAAGATTTATTAGAGTATCGTACTGTCACAGCTAACATGTACATATCGACGATTTTTCAGTGGTGACGAACCCGAATTTGACGAGGTCGCTGTTTTTCTCTGCCGCTTTCGAGCCTAACTAGGTAACTACAACAAATTTCTCTTGTCCTGATTGTATGGAACAAAACTTGTATAGAAGATGAATATATTTCATCGTATTTGACTGTTTTGATACTTTTTTGCTAATAAAGAATCTCGTTTTAAGTTCATACGTTATTGCAAAATTTGCAACACTTCCTTACTATTCTTTCAACTCGAGCAAATTGCTTCATCCTTCTTTAACATAATATTTGTTCCTGTGGGTGTCACCGAACCGCTCTAAGGAGCTAAGTTTCAACACAAAATTTTCATTAGGTGTTTTCACACTAACTCCGGCACATAGAATAAAAAGCTTTTTACCATTAAATAGTCGGTGATACAAACTATACTTCGCTTTCGTTTTATCACCTAATGTCCACGTAATTGTCGACTGTGCAGCAGTCAGTATATCTAGATACCTCAATATCATACCGAATATATCTAGACTGTCCAATATATTACTCTATCTATCAACGGTCGGATTATTGACCGCGTTGGCTATTGACTCTAATAGTCTCGATCAAATCTTATAAAGAATGAGACGTGTTCGTGACGTGTTGACATTTGCATTTACTCCGAAGTACAGTAATTATATCAGAAGATACTTTTCTTCTAACAAATAATCTTTTTCTCTTTCGAAGACAACATGCTTTTACCTTTCATTTTTGCATGTTTGCTTATTGAGGCATAAAACAAAGAGAAAGTGGGTATATAGACATATAACTGCATATCAACTTCTACTTTATTATCCAACACATCACTTTTATCTGACTCAGTTTACGTTAAGGGTATGTATCCCTTTTCTCTTTTTTGATCGAAACTTCGATTTTGAGTTAAGATCATCAGTTTGTACAGCACAAAATTCTCCACAAAGAGAGCCTGGTCCAACTGTGGCGATCTTCCGTTAAAACGTTATGCATTTAATCAAATAAACTATATTAAAATAAAATCAAAAAATTACTCTAACCTTCGAGAATTTGAGGAAATTATGTTGGTGAAATTATCTCGATGAAATAGTTTCTGCGACGTTGATCAATTACACTAATTAGTGATATTTTTCGGTGAAAATATTTCTTATAATGGTACGACATTTTTGTGTATTAAAGCGAGTGATATCAATTTATCATAGTGATACCACTTTATGTGGTTGACTTTTGAAATAACGGTGAAAATCAGTTATTGTATGCTAGCGGCAGCAATATGTGACATTTTAAATTGTCTACTTTTTTTCATGGACCACCCATGTCAAATTTTTTTCGATGCGATTTCTGCCGAAAAGTGCGTTTTTTGGCACTTTTCTGGCTACACTAACGCAACACCAGAAAACGAATTATTCGTATATGCGTTTTCTTGTGCACTATTTTTTCGCGCAAAAACAAACAGAAAAACGATAGTTTTTTGTCGTTTATCGCAGAATCTTTTTTTGCATTATATTGCGTGTAATTTTTCAATACAATTTTTACAAAAATATTTTTTGGTTTGCCATCGCAACAAAAGGATGATTCAGTACAATGACTCATCGGTGAGTCATCGTATTTAGTGTATAATTTGAAAAAGCGGTATTTTTCTGCAGCCTTATATCTATATCAGTAATTCCTTTTCCACTATGGAATCATTTAGAAAACGTTTATGATTCCGCGATACCGTTTTCAGAACATCGCATGAAGCTTTAAGGTAGCTACGCGAGTAATATTTTTTACATGAAAACGATCTTATGTTGCGTTTTCTCGCAAAATTTTTTTTGTTCTAACAAAAGATGCAGAATAAAATGCATGCGTGTGACGTTACATGAGACACGGAAATTTTACTACAGTTTTTTGGCAAAACAACGGACCTGAATTTTTGCAATTTTCTGCAGTAGAAATCTTTCGAAAGTTCGACATGGGCAGTACACGCTCTTCATCTTGATTATCTTCGACTTCACTAGGTGTATCACCACTATCGTAAACAGACTAACAAATTGCAAACATAAATTACACTCCAGATCTTTCATAGAATCAAATATTATTTCTCTTGGCTAGATAAAAACTTTATCGTTGAATAGACAAAAAATAAAAATACAATTGTACTTGATTAAAATACAAAGAAAATTTTGACAGTTGTTAATACTTTCTATGCATAAGAACTAAATTTTTATTTCTTGGTAATTTTTGTTTCTTCTTTTCTATTGGATATCGTACATTTTGTTTTTGATGTTCAAATATTGAAAATGGTTTCAAACTACCAGACACTAATAGATCCCAAATTTCTTTTAATTGTTTTAATAACATGGTTTTTCGCTCTTCGTCTACCGTTGTCAATGTTAAAATTTGTTGTACACTAATTATTCGTTTTTCAATGACTTTTTCGCATGCGGGTCGAAGTTCATACCAATTCGACGGTTTATTATCATGGATTGTTTTAATATACAAACTAAGTTGTTCAATATTCATTTCTTTTATTTTTAACAATTCTTCTTTCAATTCCCAGTTCGAACTATACCATAAATAAGATCTGCGCTTCCGGGAATCTAAATGTCCTGACAACAAATCATCGACATCAATGTCATTATCAATTGTTGCACATTGATAGCTGACTTGTTTAAGACATAAAGGCGGTGGCAATGATTTATTTTGATTATAATAAAATGAATAAATTGGATTTACGTATGATTGATAAAAACTACCATAAGATGGTTTTTTTGATTTAAATCGAATCCATGTTGCTTTTGGAGTAAAACCGTGTTTAAGATGAGTAAACTGTAGAAACTTTGTTAAAATACATTTTAAAGCTTTCAATGATTCACTTAGTGTTTGATAACTGCTAGAATTTATCGGATCAATTGATGAAAGAAGTGTAAATGCGTATAATAAGTCTTCAAATTCATATGGATCACTAATAGCATCAAATAATGCTGTAAGATCTTCTATAGATGTTGTTCTTGTCTTAACACTCATTTTCATATAATCTGATATATAAGACCAAGAATTAAATGACATTTTGACGACAATGTCTTCACGTGGATCACGATCTTCTTCCCAATCATGGAACCAAATATTAAAAATAGAACGTCTATTTGGGAAAGACGATTGAAGATAGAAATTGATTATTAATGTAGGAGCAATGTCCCAGGCTGGTATCTATAAGGTAGCAGAAAAACAAGAAGCCGATCCTTGTACACAACTTTTAATATATCGACCAGAAACTTTTAGTGTCCATCACTTGAAAGGGAAATGGCTTTAAGGAGATGAGAAATTTCTAATAAAATTGAAAGAACGGAATGCATATTAGTTGTCTCAAACATACGATGAGAGCATTCTATAAGAAATGCTTGAAAAAAAGCAAACAAACTCACTTTCTCTGAAGGTTGAAAGTGCGATGGTGACTGAAAACTGTATATGGGAGTTCTGTTTTGTTTACTAAGAACATTTAAAACGTTTCCATTAAGTTAAGGTGTCAACTACACTCGATCTCGACTCTCACGAGGGAGCCGCCCTAGGTGCCTAACTTCGATTTCCTTCATTCATACCTCGTTTTATAGATCACATCGAGCTGGTAAAAAGCCTAAAAGGATGTTTGCCCATGACTCCTGTAGTCTCGGTTTTTTGCAAAATCAGTTTTTGAGAAATTCTAAAAAATAATCAAAACCTTTCATAATAAGGCATAAATATAGCCCGCACATTTCTGATTAAAATGAGACGTCTCCCAGCTCTACACGACCATTCTTTAAAAAGTTACAGAATTTACAAGAAAAGCCCTAAATGTTCATTGTCAGCTCAAAGCTGTAGAAATAAGATGACATTAATTTAGGACTTTTCTTTTAAATTCTATAACTTTGCAAAGAAAGGTCGTGTAGAGCTGGGAGACGTCTCATTTTAATTAGAAATGTGCTGGCTACAATTTAGCCTCATTATGAAAGGTTTTGATTATTTTTTAGAATTTCTCAAAAACTGATTTTGCAAAAAACCGATACTTCAAGAGTCATGGGCAAACATCCTTTTAGGCTTTTTACCAGCTCGATGTGCTCTATAAAACGAGGTATGAATGAAGGAAATCGAAGTTAGGCATCTGGGGCGGCTTCCTCGTCAGTCTTGTTGGAGAGGTTGAGGGATCCCTCATTGCGATACAAAAAATTTACCACGTTCGGAGTTTTTATGGATTCTAATAGTTCATTAACAATTTCAGACGAACAGGGCGATGGTATACGACAACATTCATCCAAAACTTTCCATAATTTCTGTGGTGTAATATCCCTTGGATTTTTATGTAAATCAACAAAATACGTACAAATATCATTTCCAATTGATTTTAATAGAAATAACAATTTTTGTCGACCATTTAAATTCAGTAAGTTACAGTTTAATAATTTGATCAACTGTTGAAATGTTGATGTGGAAATTAATGAACATGAAATACATTGTTTACCCGAAACTAAGCAAAAGACAGTGATGATGAATTAGGGAGGGAAAATCAAAGGTAATTAGACTCACTAATCGGTTCCAGTAGCAATGCAATCTCTTGTACTAATTGTTGTAAAAGTAGAACTAAATAGAAATTAGGAAAGATCTGGACGGCGTCAAATTGATTTTGAATTAATCTGAAATGTATTGGCACCTTAAACAAAAAGAAATTGAGAAAATAATAGTTATATCAACACCGCAATAGATATCTATTGTTATTCTTCTCCTTGCACTGTTCAAAAGTATGTTCAGTGATTAGTAGATAAGATCAGGCGATGATCATTCCATTTTTTGTCTGACATATATATATGTCGTTTCTCTTATCAAATATGTAACTGATGATGACTATGACTCTAGTCTGAGTTGAAAGCTTCTATATAATTAAATAAAATAATGAATTTAGTTGAGTTAGTCATACAAATATTATTCACGTTTATCAACGGTTTCTCAACAAACAATATTAATAGTTACATCGTCTGCTGTACTCTCGAAAAGTATACAGAAAATTATAATCACTGTTCCTGTTACTTTTAGCATGTGATTTTTAGTGAAGTGCTTTTAATGGTTTAGTTCGTGATCAAGAAGAAATTCGTCATAGACAAACGACGAGAGCGATTATCTGATGAAATCGACCCATGCTTGAATTTTATCGACTAATCGAAGAGTAGATGTAGAATGAAGAGGGAAATATACCTTAGAACCACTCACAGAAAAGAATTAATCCAATTAAATTTGATTAACTTTCTACTGCATCGGATATATATTATAGATCGTCTTTCTGAATCTTTCTCTCTCAGTTTCACAATTCTTCACGACTATTACATATCATTCGAAAGCTTTTTACTTCGCTATATTTCTGTATATCACATATGCGGAAATAGTCGTTCTGACGCCAAGTATGTTTAGAAATACGTCTTGCTATGGAAAATGATCTACTACATGCAAAAAGTCTCAGATATTCTATGTCAACATGTCTTATCCGGTCACTACAATAAATATACCATTCGATAGAGAATTTGTCGAGCCACAACTTGATATATACAATATAAAGAAATAAACTGTCGTAGGGCATCCTGACTTTAGAAATGTCTCTGCAAAGTCAGAATTCTCCTCGTAATTCTCAATTTTCTCCATCAAAACCCAAGTTTTATCCAATAAAACTATCATATTCGAAATCAGGATCCAAAACTGTATCGACTAGTGTATTTTGAAATTTTGACGTCATTTTCGTTGTTTGGTGAAATCTCGAATACTTTTTCAACGTGAAAAGTCGACAAAAGCTAAAGGAGTCAGCGGCTTGTCCACGTAACTCGAGACTTCGCTGATCAAGTTTTTGAAAAAATTATTTTAGAGTAGAACTGATAGGAGCATATCACTAGATGCAGTTTTCGACGCTGATTACGAATCTCACATTAGTTTNACCCAGTTTTACATTTTTTAAAAACTGTATTTCAATTTCCTCACCTATACACTTTTCCTAATAAAAATGGAAGGCCACACTAATCGATAGAGAATTCGGTTCTCTACAAGATAATATGTTTCTTTTGAAATTTAGACTCAGAACCAGCTTTTTAATAAAGTTTTAAGTTTTAAGATTTTCACACAATTCTAAGAAAGTGAAAACATTTTTTTAGCTTTATTTTCACCTTAGTCTATATTAGATGTCTAAAGCTAAGTCTGATGTGAAAATGAAACCCTTTGAGCAATGT